AAGCAGGTTTTCAAGGCTGGAAATGGCATGGAAAGGGAAACTGGATAAGTAGATGTATCTTACGATTATGTTTCTGTGGAAAATCCTAACAAAGGCATTTAGCTATAAAACATACTCTATTCCCTGGGAAAAGTAAGTTGACGCTAATAGTTAATACATGAATTAGTACAAGTCAGTGTCTTTTCAAAGTGGGATTTTAAGTCAACCAACACTCTGGTAAGAGAAGAAGGGACTCTGGTTTCTAATCACTTGTCGAAAAAGCAGCAATTCTTTCTGGCACACATATGTCTACTCGCCCATACATACAGGCATGCTGACTAACAGAGAGACCACTGGAGGCTCTGTAATGTGATCCAAACTCCAGTGGATTTTATCACAAATGAATAGCAGGAAAAACTTAACTGGTAATGCAGGAATGCAAGCAGCCACACATTAAGTCTCAATATTCTCTTTCTCAATGCTGTGAATAGGAGGTGGGTCACTGTGTGACCTTCACATGTTGGGCTAATGAGCAACACATGGAAAAACAACATACCTTTCCTGTAAAAGTCCTGTCAAGTCCATACCAATGGGTTCAGTTAACCTTACCTTGACAAAAGGTGTTGTTAACCCGCTTATAGCCTTGTAGACATTCCATCATTTGGCTATATCCATGATATACTGTGGGGGGAAAATAATTATTTGTTACATGCTTAATCTAAAGTCTTACAATCCTAAATTAACTGTAAATGACTGTTAAAGCTATTTAAGGCATCTGTGGACTTAATAAGTCATAAAATATTAAATCAGTGTACACATATATCACTACAATTTCTTCTACATTCTTGGTTTTTCAATATACCTCATATTTTATACCATATAGAGTCCTGACAAGTTGTCAGTAAATATTTATTATAGGACTGGAAAGAATCATAAGGTTGTTTTACACTTTCTTCTAATTGGCAATTAAGCATGTCTATCACAGGTACTGACTGGCTCCAAGCATTTTCATTTTCTTATTCATCATAGATTAGGTATTCACATGTGTTTATGAGTAACAACCCTGGGTTATACCCACTACTCCAGTAAAGATAAACTAAGCACCTCCTTGCCTTTGAGTCAGAATGGACTCATAGCTGATCTTGCAGCAGGTTTTCTGAGGTTGAAAAATGCTTAGGTCGGAATTGTGTATCTTTCTCCCACGGAGAAAAGTGTCACTGTCAAAATGCAAATTTAGGTAATAAATTATTTATGTTTGCCTTAATTTTAGGTTCTAGTACTTGAGGGATGAACTGATTCTTATATGAATGTGGGAAGAATAGGCAGGCGATGAGAGGAGAGTTTCTGTGATTACGAAGACAGTTCATTTCAGGCAACTCATTTACAACAGAACCATTCATGTCACCTACTTGTACTAAACATACATCACACATTGATGCTTTGTGATCCAGAAGTCAGGTCTGTCAGACCGCCTGGCAACAGGAGAGAGAATATAAATTTTTCTGCCTATAAAAGCAATGCCTTGGGAGACAATCTTCCTGGATTTAAAAACTACACTTCTGTAAAAATCAAGGTACTCAGACATATGCGAGGTAAGGCAAACAAGCTGTGGTAGTATACTCCATTAAGTGTCCATATGCGAACACTATCACCGATATCACATACAAGCAAGATTCTGCTGAAAATTATCCAAAAACGTTTGGAACAATATGTCAACAGAGAACTGCAAGATGTGCAGGCTGGATTTAGAAGAGGTAGTGGTACTAGGGATGTAATAGCTAATGTTAGATGGATCTTAGCAGAAAGCAAAGAATACCAGAAGAATGTCTATCTGTGCTTCATT